GCCAGGGCCGAGACCTTTGTCTAGGCCTCTTTCCATTTCACGACAGTCCTTCTGCGCTCCACCTTTGTCTCCCCCGCGGGAAATTCATTCACTCATTCATTCATTCATTAGTTAAGTGCCAAGTTCTACCTAGATATTTCCTGAAAGCCTATGTGGATTTCAGAAACTAGATTAGTACAGAATTGTACCGAATACTTGAGCAAGAGGGGTCCACAGGTCTGTCTGTTGGATGTTCTCTTTCCTAGAGCGGCAGTGAGAACTGAGAGGGTAGGTGACACAGTGAAGTGCGCACATGGTGAAAGACGCGTGGTGAATGTGGACGGGCCCAGAACCCAAGCTCTGTCACTGCAGGCTGCCGCCTTCCCCCTCCTGCTTCCTTCTGCTCAGTAACTCTGACAATGTGCTCTAGGCCAGGGCCTAAGCTTGACGATTCGCTGATTGTAGTCAGGAAAGTGGAGCCACCAATTTTTCCTGAAGATGCATTCTTTCTTAAGCAGGGAATCGATTTCCAACAAGATACACAGGCTTCCAAGGAAGCCACTTACGTGACTCTGTACAAAACACCATTAATCCACTGCTAGGGCCGTTTATCTCCCTGGCTGGGGCAGCCACGGCCTTTTCAGATCCAGGATGTGATGCTGCTGGAGGAATGGGTACAGAAGGTTCCCCAACCAGAGGGGCATCCCATGGCAGGGGTGTAAGCGGACCAATGGTGGGGACCCGAGGGGGCCATCTGCAGGAGGCCAGTGCACAGCACAGTGTGTGTGTGGCCCCAGGCCTGTCCCTGCGCAGCCATGAACTTGCCGTGTGACTTGGATCTTTCTCAGCCCTTGTCTGGAAGCCCCCACCTTCCTTCCCATCGGTAAATGGGAATAAATGGTCCTGAATGTTCCTTTCCACTTTCAGAAGCAGATGCCAGGTGATGACACACGCTTTGCAGGGAGCAAAGAGACTTGGCTTTGAATCTCAACTTCACCATTCTGGAACCCTGGGGGCTGTGGGTTGAGTTGTGTCTTCCAAGAGAAGATACGTTTGAGCCCTAACCCCCAGCACCTAGGAATGTGACCTGATTTGGAGATAGGGTCTTTACAGAGGTCATTAAGTTAACGTGAGGTCATTAGCATGGGCCCTAATCCAGTATGGCTGGTCTCCTTATCAAAAGGGGAAGTGTGGACACAGAGACAGGCACCCACAGAAGCAAGACGATGGGAAGACATACAGGGAGAAGGGAGAAGGCCTTGTGCACTGGCCTCCACAAGCCAGCAAGAGTGGCCTCAGAAGGAGCCACCCCTGCCAACACCTGGAGCTCAGCCTTTTAGCCTCCAGACCTGCAAGATCAAACATTCCTGTCTTGAGGCCCCCAGCCTGTGGTGCTTTGTTACAGCAGCCCTGGCCGACTGCTACAGGGGACTAGATCTCTGAGTTCCCTGAAGAGTGGTATGGGCATAGGGACACCTGCGCTGCAAGGGTTGCTTTAGGAATCCCTTAGTGCGGCCCTTGAAATTTGGTAAGCGCTCAGTGGTAGCCGTGGCTGTCAGTCCCGCTGTGCCCCCCAGCGCCGCTAGGGGGCCCGCAGAGGAGGGACAAGACAGAACGAGGCCTCAAGTCAGACCTTTCACAGAGAACTGGGTCACCCAAGGCACCCCTTCAAAAAGCCTCTCTAAATATGGAGAAGGCCAGAGAAATCACTTTTAATGCAGTGCTTACTGGTTTTCAGCCAGAGAGTGGCCTCAGCCCTAATCGACAAGGCCTCGAAGCTGAGGTTTCTTTATTTTTATGTCCCGGGTACACTTTGAGTATGTTGAGCTGCTATGAATAATCAATAAGTGCAGTAGTCACGGCCATTTTATGGGTGTTCTGTAAAGGAGGCAGCATGGTTCTGATGGGAAGGACACTCCCTGGATGACCCTGAGAAAATCCATTATCCTCCTTGGGCCTCAGCTTCCCTATCTGCAAAGCAAAGGGGGTAGACCAACCAGGCCAGGGATTCTTACGCTGCGTTTGTGAAGGCCTGGGGGTTAAGTATAAATTTCTTGCATACACATGCATTGCTCAAACGTATTTTATGGGCAGCAAAAAAGCTATCCATAGCTCTTGCCTGGTTCTTGAAGGGGCCTCTGACTCCCAGATTGTCTGCAATGACTTTCCTGGACAACCTCTCAGGGCTGCTAGTTCCTGGCCGGTCTGCGGTTCTGGGACTCTGATTTTATAGTGGTTTCTAAGCCTCAAGAAGCAAGTCCTACAGATGTGGCTTCTCTGAGTTACTGGGATGAGAGGGATCAGGGACATAGAACTCCCCAGAGAGCTCATCGCTGGGGGCTTTGCTGACCAGGGAGACCCCAGCTGCCCAGCACTCAGGTGTCTCTGCTTTGGCCCTCCCTCCTGCTCCACAGCCCTTGCGGTGGCTGAGTGGTGCCTCCCAGCCCCTCTACTCGCCCCTCTCCTGGATGCTACACCTGCCTAACCCATCTGCCTGCTTCAATGCTGGCCCCACCCCCATCACATTTGGAGTAAAACCCAAATCCCTTACAATCCCTCCCTGATCCATCCTCCACCGGCCTCTCTGAAGGCACCTTCCCCCATCCCCCCACGCTCCCTGAGCTGCAGCCTCACCGACCGTTGGTCAGGGCTTCATGCTCTAGCCTCCGCCCACGCTTGGGTCTTTGCCTTGCTGGGCCTTCGGCCTAGAACGTTCCTCCCCACATCTTCCACTGCCTGACTCCTCCAAGTCTCAACTCAGACACCAGCTCTTCAGGAAGCCTTTCCTGCCCCTCACTAACACAGACTTCCCTTCCCTCTGTTCTCCTCCCTCAGTGCACCTGGCCCGTTTCCTTCAGAGCACTAACACGACCTATAAGGCAATATTTATGTGTTTTCTTCCCTACCAAAATGTCAACTCGTGAGGAATAAACTAAGTCTTACATGTGCAGTGCCTGGCTCATAGTAGCATTTAATAAATGCTGGAACACACTCACTCACTTGGTTAAAATTAAGATGACTGACAACACCAGGTGCTGGGGAGGGTGTGGGACAGCGGGCCCTCTCAGTACAGGCGGTAAGCGTGGACTATGGTACAACAATTCTGTCATTTTTACAAAATCACATACACTTACTATATGACCCAGCCATTCCACTCCCAGGTATCTGCCCAAGGGAACTGAAGACATATGTCCACACACAGACTTGTACACACATATTGCAGATCTGTTCACCATAGCCGAAGACTGGAAACAGACCATCTAGAACAGGCAAGACCTCTGCATCCCCACGGTCTGATGCGACAGAGAGGAGAAGGAAGCTGAGAATCCACCGAGTGTTCCCTGTGGCCAGGGCAGCTGAGTGGTGGTGACCCGTAGTAGTAGGGTGTGTTGGGCGGGGCCTGGGGCGATCCCAGGGATGTCGCCGAAAACAGAGATTCGCCGAGCACCCTGGTCCCCAGTCTGAGAGCAGGGGACCAGCCACTTGAGAAAACCTGGTGCTGGTGCTGCCCGTGGGTACAGGATTCTTGCAAAATGCCAATTAAGACATTTGACCCAAATTCAGATAAAAGCCTTTTTCCTGTGTCGAGTGGAGCTAATAATATACATTTGTTCATAATTTATGAGGCTTAGTAAGTGGGAACAATTAAGGAAGAGGCCTGCGCAAAACCTATTTCTTTTAAGTGTCACATAGGCCTTTTCTTGTTCTCTAAGGCCATCCCACCCTCTCTGCCCACCATGAAACACTTTATTGTTTTTATTATTCTTATTTCTCACTTGTTGTTAGTACTGTTAGCTACCATTTATTGAGCCTCTTCCGAGCCAGGCTGTAACATTGCCTCGTTTAATCTTAACTCTATGAGGCGGGTGTTGTCCCATTCTACAGATGAGGCTGGTGAGCTTCAGAGAGGAGATTTGCCCAAGGTTTCATAGGTGGCGAGTGGGGATTATGATTTAGGTCCACCAGACCCCAAAGCCTGTGGTATGCCGTTTCTGGATAAGCCTCCCAGCTCGGGCTGTTTCTCAATCTGCAGGGCATCCCTTCTATTGGTTGTTGTTAAATGGGGGAGACCAGGGTCAGAAAGCCATCACCTTCTGATGAGTCGGTCCGGCGTTTGGCCTGAGAACCTGCATTGTTTCTAACACATTCCCAGGTGGTGTTGACCCTGCTGGTCCTGGGACCACACTTTGAGATATGCTGGTTTGGATCAGTGCTGTTACCATAGTCCTCCATGCCTCCCTCCTCCCCCACCCACCACAGTCAGGTGCGCTTAGAGCCTTATAGACCTTTTCCTGTACATTTGCATATGTATTATCATACACAAAGAATTATGTAGTTTGATTTTCCTCTTTATGCACGTGAGATCATCGTCTACCCGCTATATTCTACAATTTAGTTTTTATTTCCATTTCATGTGTCTTGGAGAGCATATACCTCTACCTCATTCTTTTCAGAGGCACCATGGTTTTCCAGGCTTCAGGTGATTATAGTTTCATTTACCTGTTGTCCACGGATGGCTGGTCTTCCACATTTTAGACATTATGTATAGTCCTGTAAAGTCACTGAGAACATGGATGAGTATTTCTCCAGAACATCGTCATCCCTCAGTAATGTCAGCCATTATTATTGCTGGGTTTTGTTTCATTGTTAATATTGCATTCCAGAAATCCCCTTTCAGGTGGGGACAGTAAATGAGTATCTGTTTAGAGCTTCTAATGAAGTTTTTAACACAGTAGTTCTGCTAAGAAGAAAGAGGTACTGTGGGGCTTTGAGGGATGTGTAGGAGAGCAAAGGAGGAGGGGCGAGAACAGCAGGCAGGATTTAGCTTAGCTCCTGGTAGATTCAACCCTTGCCAGAGGGTGGGGCCCACCTTGATATCTCTTGGCCACATGGCAAAATCAGGCCTTGACCAAGGGCTGCCAGAGGTCCAAGTTGGCAGCACCATGAGTAAGAAGTTCGGCCCATGCCTGGATCCAGCCAAGCCCAGCTCTGACTCGCCTCCTTCCTTCCTGTCTCCTCAGTGTGGGGGTTCCGGGGAGGAGCAACTCTGCGCTGACTTTCCCGAGCTTGACCTCTCCCAGCTGGACGCCAGTGACTTTGACTCAGCCACCTGCTTCGGGGAGCTGCAGTGGTGCCCAGAGAACTCCGACACTGAACCCAGCCATTATAGCCCCGATGACTCCGAGCTCTTCCAGGTATGTCCTCCGAGCCTTGCGGTCACTCTCTGCTCCTGAAAGCCTGGCTCTGCCCTGCCCCACCTGCTTTTGCATTTGCTCATGCAAAGAAGTCTCATCACCCCCTAAAGCTCTTGGGACCCTGCCTCTTGCCCTGGATCTGCCCTTGATCTTGGGCAGTTCTCACCCCCTCACCGGGCCTGTTACCACCTCCGCACAGTGAGGGCCGGGAAGAGCTGCTCTTGCCAACCCCTCCCCCCCCAGTCAGAAGGAGCTCCTCTATGGGCCCCAGGTGGTTTAAAACCCCAAGACCTCCCTTCCCTGTATTATCTCACTGAATTCTCATCCCCACCCTGCGAGGCAGGTGTGATTATGAACCCATCTTATAGATGAGAAGACTGAGGCTTCGGGAAGTTAAGTCATGTGCCGAGGGCGATTCACCTAGTCAGTAGCTGAGCTGGTTGCAAACCCAGTCGGCCTCCCTCCTGAGCCAGGGCTTTGTAACCACGGCGACACCATAATGGAGATGACTCACATGTATTGAACAACTGCTCTGTGGCAGGACTGTCCCTGTTGTGTCTATTAACTCATTTAATTCTCTTAACAACTCCTAGAGCGGGTACAGCTGTCTTCATTTTTCAGCTGGGGCCTAGAGATTGTTCAAAAAGAGGCAGTTCTGAGAACTGCAGTGCATATCAATGCCTCTCACCTTGCATGCTCTGCGTCCAGTCTCGGGGGCCCGTGATGGGTGACCTTTTCTTTAAGAAGCCCCCGAGTATGGAATATTATGATGTCTGGGATTTGCTTCAAAATACAGCAAGCTCTGCATGCATTTGTGGGTGTGGGTGTGTCGGGGAGGGCAGTATGTGAAATAAGATCCGCCGTGTTGAAGCTGAGTGATGGGTACAATCAGATGTATTATTCTTTCCTTGAAATCTGCTCCCCCATAAAGACTGGCGGGAGAAGGCCTCGCTCCCCATGTCTGTCTGGCAAGATAATCATCATACCAGTAATGGACCGTGCGCGTGTCAAGTGTCATGCTAGTGTACCATGAGCGTCATCTCAGTCCCGATGGATTGTAGTGCTCCTAGAAATGGAAGCTCCCTCTTCTTGCCAGGCACTGTGCTGTCTACAATCTAGAGAGAAAACTGACCGGAGCTCAGTTAACAGAAACCGTGGTCGTCGTGACACGCGCACAAAAGAAACGAGCCGGGTGTGAGAAGGGGATCCAAAGACTGGATGGTCAGGAAGGGCCTCTCCGAGGAGGCCATGCTTCAGTTTGGAGGATGAGACGGATCAGCCGTGTGAAGCTCAAAGAGTGGGGACAGAACTTTCCAGGCAGAGGAAGCAGTAAGGGCAGAGCCAGGGAGCAGGAAAGCTTGCTGTGCTGGGGAACAGAAGAGCTGCGGGTACCAGGGGAGAGTCAGGTAGGCAGAGGCCGGATCATGCAGGGTCTCGTGGGTCATGGTGAGGAGTCTGGATTTTTCCCAAGTCTATTCTAACCTATAAAGAAAGGACTATTAATAACCATTTTACAGGTGAGGAAAGTGAAACTCAGAGAGGTTAAGGAACCTGGTGCCAGGTCACACAGCTGGAAGGGTCCGGGGAAGACTCTAACTGAGGAAGCCATACCCCTCAGTGCTGAGCAACCTCTCTACCAACGCTATGCAGAGCAGCATGGCTGGGCTCCAGTTCTGGCTTCGTCCAGGGACCTGCATTCTTTATATGAACGACAGGGATGAGACCTACGCTATGCTGCTTTCTCCCTCAGAGGGGGCTAACTTCCGGAAAATGCTTTCAGGTCATGGAGAGCTGATGAGCGAGAGAGGTTTAGATGCTGCATGGAGACCACACCCACCTGAACTGAACAGGCCCCCACTTCCTCAGACTGGCCAGACCCACCAGCAAGCCCCGGCCAAGATCCCACTCGGTGCTCGAAATGGTCTTGGGCACAAGTGAGCCTGTGTGGCCCCAGGGCTCCCAGCCCAGCAAGGAAGGCAGGACCCTCACAGACGGATAGCACCCTGGCCGACCCCTGCCCACCCAGCCCCTCCCCCGTCACGGTCTGCACACCCCACCTGCCCTCCCAAGCCCAGGCCAGTTCCACCCATTACCCACGGATGCGCCCCTATGCGTGTGATTATGTGATCAGTGCCTGCCCCCCTGCCACACACAGCATAAACCCCATGACCTTGGGGGCCACAATGGCATTATGCACTGTCCTATCCCCGGGCTCTGCACAGAGCCTGGCACTCGTTCGGGCCTTAACAAACAGCTATCAAATGAATAAATCCCTCAAGGCCCAGCTCTACTGTCGCCTCCTTAGGCAGTTGATGAGTTCCTCTCCTGGGCTCCCATCTGCGTGTGCGCACGCGCGGGCGTGCCTGTGTCTCTGTGCCCTTTAGACGGTGAGTTCCTTGCGGACAAACAGCATTGGATTAGTCTCGGGCCCTCACACGTCGTAAGGACTCAATCACGTGCGTTGAATGAAGGAACTGATGGTGATACTTTCTTTCCTGCCAAGGACCAGATGTGGCCCTTTCCACAAACCTCAAGCTCACATCGTGGGTTCTCCCTCGGCCACAAGCTCGGTTTTCTCAGTTGGTCGCTGGGAATCCTGGGGCCATGCTGGCTGGGTCAGAGCTGGGTTCCCCCAGTCGGATGGTGCCACTGCTGTGGAAACAGACTGGGAGCGTGGAGGGCAAGCCACGGGGACAGGGTTAACAACTCCTCGGGGGCAGGGACAGTGCCCTCTGTGTCTCTGCATTTCCAGAGTCCTCCCGCCAGGACCACAACCGTCGCTAAGTATGTTTGGAGGAAGCAGGCTTTGGTGGTTCTGTCAGTTTGCTGTGTGGTCTTGGGCAAGGAGCTCCCTGAGTTGGGTCTCAGTTTCCCCATGTGGGGAATGAGGAAGGAATGTGGTGGATTCAATCAGTGGTTCTTGATCTGTTGAGGGGAGGGTCACCAGGTCCTTTTAGACTCTGATGAAATCTGTGGACCCACTGCCGGAAAAAAAGGAAAAACTGATTTCCTGGGTTTTCTGGAGCCCAGTTGAGACTCCTGGACAGGCGGGATTTCTGTCCCTTGTAGCAGAAATCCTGTTCTATGTCATTCCGGAATTCAGGCCCCTTCTAGACCTTCAGAGTGAAGCATTTTCCCTGGGATTTCTTCAAGACTCCTTTTCCTCTGGCTTGAGAGCAGCTCAGGAAGGCTGGGGTGGGGCTGAGGCTATTAATATCCCTTCCTTCCCTGATTAACTCTCCATTAATTTGCACTTCGCTTCCAAGTGGAGCAGGCAGAGCCTGGCCAGTGGGCCCGTGAAGAGGAGAGGGTGGTGCGGCCCCTGTGATGTATTATCCTGGGTGCTGACAGACGCTGTGGACACCGTGGGCAGATCGGCCTTGCTTCCCGGCAGGGTCAGGGCCTCCAACCCCGCTGGCTGCTCCCGAGCTGGAGCAGCCCAGGGAGGGCAGAGGAGAGGGGGCAGGTCTTACTCATTTCGTTTTGGCCCAGCCTATTGGGTGCTTCCTGAGGGCTTGGCTGTTTTACATTCATTTTCCCATGGTGCCTGGCACACAGTAAACCCTACCCCCACCCTGACTTGCTCTGTGACCTTGACAAGTCTGTTTCCTGGACCTTCATTCCACCCCCACCCCCCGCAAAAAAGAATGGCAAATAGGTTTCCTCCTAAGGAAATGAGGAATGTCAGTTATTGCCTAGAGGGCTCTGTTACAGATGTTGGTGTAGGGGCACCTGGGTGACGCAGTCAGTTAAGCGGCCGACTCTTGATTTCAGCGCAGGTCATGATCTCAGGGTGGTGTGATCGAGCCCCGTGTCGGGCTCTGTGCTGGGCGTGGAGCCTGCTTGATTCTCTCTCTCCCTCTGTCCCTCCCCCTCCTTGTCTTAAAAAAAGAAAACCCACAAAACCAGAAAGATACTGGCATGGAAAGAACAAGAGCCACAATTGGTGAATGATATGGGGGAGGGGCAGTGGCTTGTGGGGCCCACGTTTAACACCCCTGGTCATTACATGATCCCTGAGGGATCGAGCTCTGATGTGTGTGATAATTCATAGTATCTCTGGGCCATTGGCTGTGTCTCTGTGAGAAAGGGGGAGCTCTTGTTCCATCCGGAGCTGGTGACATCATTTCTGAATAGCTTCCCTCTAGAATCTCTCCTTCGAGATGCTCATCTCAGTATCTCCCGGTGGCCAGAATTCACTGTTTGGTGCATTCGTTGTTCTGTTCGGCAAATCTGCCTGGGTACCACCTGCCCCAGGCGCTGAGCTAGGCTTGGGAGCACCCTCTGGAGGAGCACTTTCATCACTACTTCCAGACCTGGCCTTCCTGAGCAGACAGTGGGGGTGGGGGGTGAGAGGTCATGTTTTCCTGTTTTACAGAAAAACCAGCAAGGTTTAGAAGAGAGAAGCGATTTGCTCACAGTTACCCCGTGGTGGCACAGTCTCATGTGGTCAGCCCCCAGAGTGGTCTTTGGGTCCCTGGTTCCAAGGTCTTACTTCACTTCCTGTCGGGAGAGACAGATCACTCTGGGAATACCTGGGACTCTGGCCTGTGGGTGGTGGTGGGGGGCAGTCAAATGAGCCCATCACATTCTCGAGCCAGGGTCTGCAGGCCCGGATCTGCCCTTGTGTTGTTGCCCTCCCCCAGCACCCCCCCCCCCAGGGCCTAGGTCAGGTCCAACCAAAACCTTCTTTTGACCTTTCTTTTATTTTAGCTCTGTTCCAAAAATGACAAATGCATTTGTTCTCTCCGCCCCATGTCCCCCCTTCGAGTTACTCAGCTGCTGCTCCGGTTGTAAGGCCTGGAACGGGCTGAGTGCAGCCAAAGGCTGTCACGAGACGCGATTTTCAGAGGCGCTCCCTGAAGAAGGGATAAACAGCCTGACCTGGGATGGGAAAGAGTGCGGGCAGAGGCATCACGTGACCACAGGCGCCTCCTGCCGAAACAGGCCCAGCGGGCAGCGCTTCCTGAACGAGGTGCTCGGTGCCTCACCTGGGAGCTGTGTGATCGCCACGCTTCAGGGCCTCTGGGCATGGGGGCCCGCGGGCTGCTGTCTGTGGGTGGGCAGGCCTGTACGTGCTGACCCTTGTCACTGTAGGTCTTAGGCATTGGAGGAGCTCAAGTCCCGGCTCATCTGTGCCATAGTGGCCTCAGTGGAAGTCCTCCCCTGTCCTGGATTTGCTCTGTGACCCTGGACACCTTGTTCAACTGCCACGTGCCTCAGTTTCCCCAACTGCAAAATGGAGATTAGAGTAGAACTCCCTTCATAGACCTCGTTGTGAGGCTTCCCTGAGGCAGGATTCATGGAGCCTTTCTGCTCCTCTCCTTGGCCCCAGTCTTTGTCCCCGGCTTTTTGCTCCAGGTTTTACCCTCTGCCTGGAGTCTTCTGTTGTCCCCCCCACCCCTTTGCCTGGCACCTTCTTGTCTTCCAGGCCTCGGTTGAAGTGCCAGCTAGCTGCTCAGAGCAACCTTCTGGGACGCCCCCCTCACTAGCCTGTAACTCTTCACCACGTTGTCTCCGTAGCAGCTTCCGTTTACTTTCTTCCTAGACTTTCATTCTCTGAAATGATCTTGTTTGTTCCCTTGTTCTAAGTCTGTTCTCCGCTGGGGAGGATGCTCCATGGGGGCAGGGGCTGCCCCTGTCCTGGCATGCGGTAGGACCAGTGCCCGGACCGTGCCGGGCGCAGAGTAGCCATTCGGTACATGCGTGTTCGGGGAGGGGAGAGAGGGGAGCGGGGAGAGGCTGCCCGCACCATTACCACCGTCATCCCAGTAGCGATGGGAGCGGTGGTCCTGAGTACTTACTATGCACCAGGCACCATTTGTTTGCGAGGCGTCTTCATATACGTTCACTCAGATAAAGTCAGGTCCTCAACAATAACTGTAAGAAGTAGGTACTGTTGTTGCGTGGGACAGATGAAGAAACTAAGTAACTTGCCTGAGGACCCATGATTGATAAGTATGGGATCTGAGATGCAACCCCAGCTCCAGAGCCCAAGCTCCTGACCACTCCTGAGTGGTGAGCGAGGCCAAGGAACCCCCTGGGACATGGGAGCGGTTTTATTATTGCTGTGGTTATCATTGTCACGGCCAACCCCAAAGCTTCCATCCTGTACGCTGCCTGCCTGGGCCCCGGCGTCAGCGGGGCTGCGAGGCTGCAATGGGATGCTGTTGCCAGAGGCAGAGACCAGCTTCAGGGGCCAAGGGCTATGTCCCAGCAGTCAGAACAGGAGGCTGTGGTGTGGGAGGCCGCTGTCCTTGGTCAAGGGGACAGCAGGTGTCTTCCAGGTGGACAGCCCTGTGCTCACACTGGGCCAGGATTGGAGCTTCCGGGGCGAGGCTCTTTCCGGTATCACCTGCTGCCTGCTCGCAAACTTCTGATTCCTGGAGTCGCTAACATATTTCTTGGGCATCTGCTATCCCAGCGATACTGAGAGATCTGAGAGCAGGGGAAGGACGGGAGAGGATTTGGCAAGGGGGTGATGGTGGTGCAGCTGCATGTGCAGAACAGATTTCTACCAAGAAGACGTGCAGACGGCCGAGCCCAGGGTACTGACTAACCGTGTCCCTCTCTGCTCCACCGCACTCCTCACTTCAGATCATCGACAGTGAGAATGAGGCCCTCCTGGCAGCACTCACCAAGACCCTGGACGACATCCCTGAAGACGACGTGGGTCTGGCTGCCTTCCCGGCCCTGGACGGTGGAGACGCACTATCCTGCACTTCGGCTTCGCCTGCCACCTCATCTGCACCCCCCAGCCCCAGCCCCTCGCTGGAAAGGCCCCAGGCCCCGACGCCTGAGGTGGACGAGCTCTCCCTGGTGAGAACCTAGTTTCAGCTCATGTGATGGTGGTGGGTTGGGCTGTAGTGTCTGGGTGTAGGGTCGTGGGTGCAGGGGAGGCAGCACCGGCCACTTGCAGGGCTCTCTGTGCACCACTGAGCAGCCTGGAAGGGCAGCCTGGAAGGCCTCTCCGGGCCTGTACAGCTGGACCAACCCTGCAGGCTCCACCTGCACTCTGTAGGTCCTTTGGGATTTCACAGATTGACCTTTCTTGTGTGGTAAACCCTCGAAATCACATGTAAACCTTTCCCTAAAGGTTATGCATGCACGCACAGTAAAAATTCAAGCAGGAAATGTGGATAGTTAAAAGCAAAATCTCCTTATCCATCCCACAGTTGTGTTCTCCTTGCCTGGAGGTAACCATGGTTACCGATCTGTTCTGTGACTTTCCTCTTCCACCTTTTTTTTTTTTTTTAAACTACAAAAGGGAGTCTACATTATACACCGCTCTGTACCTTTTCTCAGTGAACTGTCTTGAAAACTCAGATGAGCACAGGTCACTCTGTTCCATCCTTTTTGTCAGCTGCATAGTGTTCTTTTGTAAGGATGTACCGTAACTTGTTTAACTTGTCCCCTGGTTGGTGATTTATGTTGTTCCAACTCTGATTGCTACACTGTTGGGGTCAGTGCCCTGGCACAGGACTTTGCCTCATCTGAGTGGGTGAGTTTCTAGCAGTGGAATTCCTGGGCCTCCAGATACCTGATGTTTCAGTTTAGACAGCTGGTTCCAGATTGCCCTCCACAGAGTTTGGGCTGGTTGATGCTCCCACCAGCAGAAGTTCAATGCCGTCTATGAGTATATGTGGAATGGGGGAATGAGCAGTTTTCTGCACAGTTTTGCAGTTTTCTGGGGAAAAGCTCTCAGCTTCTCAGGTTCTCAAAGGAGTCCAGACCTCAAAAGTTACTGAAAGCAGTTGCCTCTAATTCAGACTGAGGGTGTTGGAAGCTGGGAGCTGAGATGTCATGGGGCGTGTGAAGTCCAGCTTCACTCACCTATCTTGGGCTCTGCGCCTTGGCGCTGCAGCTCCTGGGGGCTGAGAAGACCCAGCTGGAAAATCGGAGCCTATTGAGCTGGGAAGGGTCTTGGGTCATGGAAAGTTCTGAGCGGAAAGGCCCTTGGTGACTATCAAGTGCAGCTCTGGGAAAACTGAGGCCCAGAGCAGGGAGGGATTCTCCTGTGGTCACAGAGCAAGTCAGTATTCTGACTTCTGGTCCAGGAGCCTTTTCCTTCTTTCCCACTGCCCGTAAGTTCCCCAGAGCGGCATGAAACATTTAGTAAGCACCTACTATGTGCTGGGCACGAGAATGTGTTCAGTCCCACATTGTGGCTTCTGCTGACAGGAATCCGACTGGGTCTGAATCCCAGCCCCACCAGTTAGTGCTTGTGGGTCCTTTAGATTCCTAATATCTCTGATTTAGCTTCCTGGTCCATAAGGTGAAGCTGATAATAGGGCTTATCTCAAAGGCTGTTAAGAGGAGTCCAGCAGATAATGCATGGAGAGCACTTAGAACGGTGCCTGGCACATAGCAGTTGCTCAATAAATACTATCTAAGTAATAGTCCTGGCGGTAGTACTACCAAGAGGAATTCTCAGTGTGGGGACTCCTGGGGAGCGATCAAACCCCAGAGAGGCGGAGAGCGACCCCTGCTGGCCACAGGGTGTTTCTCTCCCGTGCCGCAGACTGCCTTTCCACCTAGGTCTGTTGAGCACTTCAGGCACTGTGCTAGGTGCACAGGAAACAGACTCACCATCTAGACTCCCAGCATACCCAAAGAGTTCAGAAAGGCCCTGAGAAGTGATCCAGATGCCCAGTTTTCATGGATCCCAGAGAGTCCACTGGTGGACTGACCTGGACCCACGGACCTCTACATATCCGTGCGTCTCTCTGAGGTCAGCAGCTTCTGTCTTATCCCTTGAGAAACTCCTGAGTCCAAAAAGGTTCATAACCAGTCCTTTAGTGTTCTTGCTGCCATTATGCCAATGGAGAAGCCAAGGCCTGGAGAGGGAAAGGACTCGCTCAAGGTCTCATAGTGAGTGGGGCTGAGCTGGGCCAGAACCAGGTCCCTCCCACCAGCTCAAGGATCTTTTCCTGTCCATGTCAGAGAATCACAGAGCTGCGTGTGTTGGTTTGGGGTCTAGGTGGGGTGGTGGGAATCAGCTTCTAGGGGAGTGAGGAGTGGCCTTTTCTCTGGTGCCTGAGCCCTTGGCACTCCTTGCTGGGGTGACCTGGGGGGCATATCCCTTGAGGGAAGATTGGTGCTATAGCAAAAACCCATCATGCTTCCCAACTTGTTCTCAGTCTTGCTGGGACAGGATCCCTGGTGGAATTTCCAGGGGTGCTCGGCTCCCAACTCTCTTGCTGGGATGCACCATGCACCTGCCCTCTGGGTGCAGAAGTATAACAGCGTCTCAGCAATTTTTATAGAAAACTTAGAAAAGCTAGACAAACTTTGGTATTCTTCCACCTGTGTAAAAACAATCAGGTGTGTTGGAGGTGATACGTACATATATTCTTTTTTTTTAAAAAGATTTTATTTATTTGTTAGAGAGAGAGCATGAGAGGGGGGAGGGTCAGAGGGAGAAGCAGACTCCCTGCTGAGCAGAGAGCCCAATGCGGGACTCGATCCTGGAACTCCAGGATCATGACCTGAGCTGAAGGCAGTCGTTTAACCAACTGAGCCACCCAGGCGCCCACGTACATATATTCTTGCATGATCGAATTCCACCTTAGGATTGGGTCACAAGAAGGTGGTTAATAGTCATTGCCTCTGGGAAGGAGGAAGGGGACACCTCGGGCAGGAGGGAGACTTGCTTCTCATTGTCCACCCCTTAGTATTTGTGGTATATATTTTTACACCATTTATAAGTATTACTTTTTTAATTTAAGAAATTAACTTTTATATTTACTTTTTTTTAAGATTTTATTTATTTATTTGAGAGAGAGTGAGATAGAATGAGCATGAGAGGGGGGAGGGTCAGAGGGAGAAGAAATTAACTTTTAACGGAACAGTATGAATAAGCAAAAAAAACAAAAGGGAAATCAGCTGGAATCCCATACCAAAGAACCATTGTGGTGCCCGACTTTCCAGATTGTGTGCACATATGTGTGTACCATAAGTGTGTGCAGAGTGTCCCAGTAAACTGTTCATGCCCTATCTTAACAGTAGAATGGGAAGACATTCCCCAAGAAGTGTGTGGATTTCTCAAAGGCACAGGTACTCCTCTTGGTTTAGTAACTCTGAAAAGGATTTACATTTTACGGGGATGCTTAGATTGTTAGACAGTCTGCTTTCTATACTTACTGTAATGGGAACATGTTCATGAAATGCCCTCCCTGTATTCTTCCCATAGTCCTGTGATGACCTGGGGTCAGGGCGTGCTCCATCCCAAGAAGCTAGCTCTGGGCTCAGACTTCTCCCCGAGCCACATTTCTCCACGGCCCCCAGCCAGAGCCCAGCCCCAGCTCCTCTCCTCTCTGCTTCTCCCACAGCTGCAGAAACTCCTCCTCGGCACGACCTACCCGACCTCAAGCTCCGATACCCAGAAGGAAGGGACCGCCTGGCGCCAGGCAGGCCTCAGGTCTAGGAATCCGCGGCCCTGTGTCAAGGTATGTGTGCATGTGTCCCCAGATCCACCCCGGCCCCCAGGTGGCCTCTGAGGGGTGCAACCTTCAGCTCTTATTAGGGGGTATCGAGTTCAGTCACCCTCCGTTTGCCCTCCTTGTGCCTCACATAGCCGTCGTAGCTGGCGTGCTGGGTACCTCTTGAGGCCCAGGCCAGTTTGGGGTTCTGGAAAGAGGATTGGACTTTCTCCTACACCTCAGTGTTTGAGGCACCGTGTTAGACACTGGGTTAGAGCAGGGACAGGAAGATGTGGCCTGCTCTCAGCGGGCTTATTCTAGTGGGTGACACACAGAACCCTCAGCTCCTCGCTGGAGACCACAGTAAAGAGTTTGGATTTCTCCAGGGCAGAAGCCATGGGAGAGTCCCAGGCTCTGTTGTGAACACCAAGGAGCGAAGCAAATCCCTTTTCCTCCTTGGACTCCATCTTCCAAGACTTTCAGAGATTTCACACGTGATTCCTGGCATTCCCGTGACTCAAAGCCTGCACTCGGTCCTTCCCCTTGGGTCCCTAGACACTCCTGCAGGGTACCGTTGCACATAATCCCATGCCCTCGGGGCAGAATCAGGGTTTTGTTTTGTTTTTTTTAACAGTTTTATGGACGTTTCACTTACATATCATAAAAGGCACTTATTTTGAAAGAACTATTCGATGATTTGTAGTAGAGGTACAGGGTTGTGCAGCCGTGACCACAATTTAGTTTTAGAACATTGCCATCATCCCAGAAAGCTCCCCAGCACCCCCATGTACAGTTAGTCCCTCTCCCCACACCCAGGCAACCACTAATGTGGTTCCTGGTGCCATTACTGAAGGGTGTAGTGCAGGGGAGCGGGGTGGTCAGAGCAGGGCTGCGGCAATGAACCGGGTAGGGGTGAAATCCGTGGCTGGGAGGCCTGTTAGGAGGCTGGTCATTCCTTTGCTCCTCATTACCTGAGCACTGCTAGATGCCACGCGGGCCCCAGCCGGTGGCTACAGGCGTGGGGCAGAGTGGAGGGGGGCGGCATGGGCCTCCCTCCTCACTCAGCCCTCTTTCTCTCTCTAGATGGACGGCACCCAAGACAAGAAGGCCCCCATGATGCAGTCTCAGAGCCGGAGTTGTACCGAACTGCATAAGCACCTCACTTCGGTGCCGTCCTGCCCCCAGACTAAAGCCCGCTCCCCAGACAGGAGCTTGCAGCCACCACCCACCCTGAGTCCCCAGCTCCCAGCCAAGGAGGAGGAGGAAGCTGGTGAGGACTGCCCGAGCCCCCAGCCGGCTCCAGCCTCACCCCAGGACTCCCCAGCACCGGGCAGGGCAGGCCCCGGCGCCCAGGGGTCCCGGGAGGACATGCAGGCGATGGTGCAGCTCATTCGCTACATGCACACCTACTGCCTTCCCCAGAGGAAGCTGCCCCCACAGGCCCCGGAGCCAGCCCCCCAGCCCTGCGGCAGCCCCTCCAAGCAGGTCAAACCCCGGTCCCGGTCCCAACACCCTTCCAAAGGCTCCTGGGCTGAGTTCTCCATCCTGAGGGAACTTCTGGCTCAAGATGTCCTCTGTGATGTCAGCAAACCTTACCGCCTGGCCACACCTGTCTACGCCTCCCTCACACCCCGGCCCAGGCCCAGAGACAGCCAGGCCTCCCCTGGCCACCCGTCCCCTGTGGAGGAGGTGAGGATCACAGCTTCGCCCAGGAGCACCGGGCCCAGACCCAGCCTGCGCCCACTGCGGCTTGAGGTGAAAGGACACGCCGGCCGGTCAGCCAGGCTGCAGCGGGAGGAGGAAGAGGAGGAGGAGGAAGAGGAGGAGGAGGAAGAGGAGGAGGAGGAGGAGGAGGAGTGGGGCCGGAAAAGACCGGGCCGAGGCCTGCCGTGGACTAAGCTGGGGAGGAAGCTGGAGAACACAGTGTGCCCCGTGCGGCGTTCCAGGAGACTGAACCCGGAGCTGGGTCCCTGGCTGGCATTCTCCGATGAGTCTCTGGTCCCTGCGGAGCCCCAAGGAGCTCTGCCCTCGCTGCGCCTCACTCCTGAGGCCTACGACATGGCGGGGGCCCTGGGCAGCCCCACGGATGAGGACAGTGGCCAAGACCAGCAGCTCCCACGGGGACCCCAGATCCCGGCTCTGGAGAGCCCCTGTGAGAGTGGGTGTGGGGACACGGATGAGGACCCCAGCTGCCCACGGCTCCCTTCCAGAGGTAGTCGGAGTCGGTGGTCTGCAAGAGAGGGGGCAGGGATGGGGCGTGGCGTACCCCACTGCGCTGGGAGCCAGGAGCCCTGTGCTGGGCAAGTCCCTTCCCCTCTCCGGCTCTCGACTTCCCTTTCTGTGCAATGGGCTAGTTGGGCGGATCTTCAGGAATCACCCACCCATCTCTGAGTTTCTCATCACGCATGGGCCAGGCACCACTTAATGAACACGGAGCGAGATGCCTGCCTTCGTGGGGCTTGTGTGTCAGTGGGGCAGACAGGCAATCACAAAGTAAATAAAAAAGGAAGATAATTACAAATTGTGCTAAGTGCTCTAAAGAAGACGTCCTGGGTGATGATGTGACGAAAGGAGTGAGTCTGTAAATCCAGCTCCCTAATGATGTTGATTTTTAAATGGTAACAGTAGTGGTGGTGATTATAACAGGTACCTATTGTATGCTTGTGCTAGGCGCTGGTCTAAAACTTGACCCAGCTTAACCCCACTGACTCCTCACAGGGGGCCTGTGTGGTAGGTGCGGGCATAATCTCCATTGTCAGACACAGAAACTGAGGCACAGAGGTATCGAGCAACCTGTCCAGCTAGCAGGTCCTTCATCCATCTGTCCACCTGTGCCTGGGCCCCCCAGCTCCTGGTCATCCCTGGGGCTCCCCTCCCCCCGACTGTAATACACCGTTTGGCCAGAAGGGGTCACCTGCTTTTTCCGAAACCTCCCGTAGCCCTGCTGCTGCTAATGTTGCTGAGACCCTGGGAGGGAAGGTGGCTTTGAGTTGTCCCTGCCCTTCCCTAAAAGTGACGGAGGCTTTTGGGTCACATGCCTGCAGGGAGTCCTGCTTGGCACCAGTGGGAGTTCAGGGTTTCCTCCAGAGGGAAACGCCTGCTAGTGATGCCGTGTTGGGGAATCTTATTTTTTTTCTTTTTCATCTTCTTTTCAGACTCTCCCAGGTGCCTCATGCTGGCCTTGTCACAAAGGTAGATTTTTGGAAATCACTGGTTTATTATTCCATGAGTCTTTGTCCTGTTGGGTATGTGTATCAGGGGTGGGGGGTTGGGTGGGTGGTCAGCCTCCGTGCCTGCCCCTTCCCATGCCCCCACCCTCACTGCCATGTGGGGCCCACAGTAGCTGGGGTCCCTTAGAAGGGAGGTCTCTGCAGGCCCAGGAAAAGTGGGGAATTAAGGTTTCAGGCCATTCCATAAGCTGTCCTCTCCAGGATGGGGGAGGGGGGTGGAATTCTTTTCTCCGCAGGGGAAAGCTGATAATGCTGTGTGGCGTCGGCAAGTCTCCTCCCCACTCTGGGCCTTAGGTGCTCCTTCTGTAAAATAAGGAGGGTGTTGGAGGGTGATGATGCTTGCCCTCTCTCTATCCTCCAGAAAATGTCTCCTGTGTCTCCTGCCAGAGCTGTAGGCTGCTTTGACTTCCTCTAAGCCAGGATGGGGGTTTCCCAGAAAATTCTCCCCGGGACCCACGTCTGTGGGCAGCAGAACCAGGGTCTGTCACAGTGTCCCCTTGCCCTCCTTGCATGGCGGGGAAGTGGAGCCTGCTGCTGATTGGCCTTTTTCCTTTCTGTCCTCCCCGCCCCCACCAGTGACCCTCCTTTCGGCAGGAAGAGCTTTGAGCAGACCTTGACGGTGGAGCTCTGTGGCACCGCAGGTGAGCCTGGGGCTCGGCTGGTAGGGTGCCCTTGGGGGAGCTGACACGACTCCTGGCCACGAGTCCCCACACAGAGCGGCCCCCTCGAGCCCTCCCTGCCACTGCCGCGCAGGCTTCAGGGGGCCTGAAGGTGCACAGTGAGGGTGTCGTAAGGGGGAGAGTCAGCCGATCGGCTGCAAACGATCCGCACATGAGCTGAGGGCGGGGTGAGGAAAGGGACACACGTCTCCCCCCGAAGGAGCCCGCCATCTTCTGTAGGAGACAGACTCACGCCACGACGAGTCCTGTTCCAGGCACATGCGTTCCAAGTGTGTGCCAGAGCTCTGGGAGCACGCAGGAAGGGGCGGCCCGGGCAGGAGTGTGGCCCGGGAAGATTTGCAAGGCCTCCAGAGCAGGGGGCTTATGAGCCGGGCTTGCGGGAGGAGCAGAAGCTGGGGAGATGAAGAGGTGGGAAGGAGGTCCCTGGCGGGCAGGATTGACGGGAGCAGAGGCACATGGGGTGAAATCACAGGTGCCTCTGGGGAGGCTGGGTACCTGGAGTCGCTGCGTAGCAAAAGGGGGGCGGGCAGGAAAGAGCCATCACAGAAGGCCGAGAGGAACGCCAGGCTGAGGATTTGATCTCCATCCTGGAGGCTTCAGGAGCCCCTAAAAGGGAGAGATCTCGGGTGTTTAGCAAGTGCCCTTGGGTGCATTGGGGAGGATGGAGGCCAAGGTCAGATGCAGGAAGCACTGATGGCACTGTGGCAGCCCGGTCCAGGTGGGAGGTTTGACCCGTGGCGCCTGCCTCCTTCCCACTCGGGGAGACCTCGGAGCCAGTTGAGAGAGCTTGTTGAGTGACTGGATGTAGAGCAGGAGGAGATATCTCAAAGGACCTGAAGGTTTGGGCTACTGTGGTCAGGCTACAGAGGGATGGCAAGGGGATTTCGGCACGTGCCCGCTCAAGATTGGCCGTGGACTGTGTGCGGAGTCCCGGGCCACATTCAGGCTCAGCCAGCCGTGCAATGATTGGTTAGTGACGCCTGCCATTCATTGGGCTGGGTCTCTGTCCATTGGAGAAGTGATCTGTCTCTGCCTCACAGGGTTCTCCTCTTGCTTGGCTAGGACTCACCCCACCCACCACACCTCCCTACAAGCCCACAGAGGAGGACCCCTTCAAGCCAGACATCAAACACAGCCTAGGCGAAGACAGAGCTCCCAGCCTCCCCAGCTTGGAGGGCCTCCAGCTCGGGGCTGCCCCCGTGGCTGCCCACAAGCTGCCAAAGAAGCACCCAGAACGGAGCGAGCTCCTGTCCCACCTGCGGCATGCTACAGCCCAGCCAGCCTCCCAGACTGGTCAGAAGCGCCCCTTCTCCTGTTCCTTCGGAGACCATGATTATTGCCAGGTGCTCAAGCCAGAAGGCGCCCTGCAGAGGAAGGTGCTGAGGTCCTGGCAGCCGTCTGGGGTCCACCTTGAGGACTGGCCCCAACAGGGGGCCCCACAGGCTGCGGGGCCGGCCTCCGACAGGGAGGAAGACAGAAGCTGTGACGGCGGTGCCCCTGCCAAGGACAGCGTGCTCCTGAGAGACCACGAGATCCGCGCCAGCCTCACCAAGCACTTTGGGCTCCTGGAGACCGCCCTGGAGGACGAAGACCTGGCCTCCTGTAAGAGTGCTGAGTATGACACGGTCTTTGAGGACAGCAACAGCAGTAGTGGTGAGAGCAGCTTCCTCCTGGAGGAGGAGGAGGAGGACGCAGAGGACGACTCGGGGCTCAGCCCCCCTCGCTCTGACCACTGCCCCTACCAGAGCCCCCCAAGCAAGGCCAGTCGGCAGCCTTGCTCCCGCAGCCGCTCCAGCTCCGGCTCCGCCTGCCGCTCCCGCTCACCAGCCACCCGGAGGACCTTCAGGTACGGATGGGTGGCCTCCAGAGGGACAGTGGGCCGCTGAGGACCGCAGTTCCCAGGGTGCCAAGGGAGGGAGGAGCCCTGAAGCCGGGGCTGCGTCTCCCTGTGTGGCCCACGTCTGGTCCGAGGCCCCAGAGGTTCTCCCTGGGGGAGTTGTGGGCAAGTTCTGGAAGCAAGCAAAGCCTGCTGTGTGATGGTCAGGAGCCACCCAAATCTCTTGGCCCCGGGAGAGGAAGAAAGCCCACTTCCTGGCCATTCGTGGCCTTTATGTCTAAAGGAATGTGTCCCTTACTCATCTGTGTTTTCTGCTTTTATATTTGTAAATCGGACCCAGTTTAGTATCTATGTGACATCTACACGTGAAAGGAAGATTAGCAGAATTCTGATCTGCGTTCTAAAAAAAAAAAATACCTGGATTTAAAGCAGTGATAAGGTTTATTCCCATTTCTTGGTGCTGCTGAGCTGCGCAGGACTTTTAGCAGCCAGCCGTCCCTCTGGTTGCTGCTGACCTTCCCACAGAGTTGGATGGTGCATCATGAGCCTGTGTGCTCATACCATCTTGGCTCACTGAACTGGTCTGAAAGAAGGAGCGGGTCCAAAAGTGCACGGGGAGCTGGGCAGAAAGAATGGAGGTTTGGCATATGTTGGTGGAGACAGGTTGCTTCTCTCCCTGATCACAGCAGGACCTGATTCTTCACCTGAGGGAGGCCTGAGGAGGGTCAGTGCAGGTCCCAAACCCTCTGCCTGAGATGCATGTGAGTGACCACTAGATGGTGCTCCTGGGCCTAGAGCCGGGCCGCGGCCACCTGGCGCTCGTTACCGTGATGACTGGGCCCCACCCGCCCAGCGTCTGATTTTGTGCGTCTGGGGGTGGTGGTAGAGAATCTGCATTTCTAACTAGTTCCCAGGTGATGATGATGTCCCAAGTGCCAGACTCCTCAGAGTCCCAGAATTCAGCTAATAGAAAAATATCTTTTCTTAGAAAAACTCGGCTTTATATATCTACACCGGTAGCTCTTATCTGTTTGAAAATCTGATTAAAGCAAACACTCCTCTTCCCCTTAAAACGTGCATAGACCTCTAACTGGGCAGTCGAATTTAGGGGGTTTGTAGACTCTCCAGACACTAAGGTTAAGAAGCCCTGCGCTGTTACTCAAAACGAGTTCCTTCTCGATTTCTCTAAAAACCCTTCCATGTAATAAGCCAGGATGATTGGTCGGACCTCTCTGAGCCCTCTTTCCGGCTCCAGTCTCCTGGCATCCACATTAGGCAGTTTCCTCTGCAACATTTCGTAGCTTAGAAGCTACTAAGGCTCTTTTCTTTTTTGAAACATGTCCCCCAAGGCTGGAACTGGAGCTTCTTGGCCTCCTTTCCCTCCTGACCTGTTCAGGGCTGTTGGGGGAAGGCCTGCATTCATGCACTTGCCTGCAGAGAGTTGGGAGCTGCTCTAGAAACTCCCATGGATTCTCCTTTTCCTCTTCTTGCTTTTGGGCCAAGTTCAGGGCTGGCTTTTTCTGCTCTCTAGAGAAAATTAATTGGTTAATTCGATACTTGCTCAGCTGACAGAACTTGGCTCCTGGTAAATCTGGTAAACCAGTCATCCGTCTTCTCCAAACCCACGTTTTTTCACCCGTGCTTCCAATACCAAACATTGGTCCACAAGTGTTTTGAGCTGGTTTAAAATAACACAAAAACCCCACAGTACCTTCCGGTCACTCTCAGCTGATCTTCAGGTGGGAAACTGCCAATCTGTTGCAAATGGATGATGATGCTGTTATTTATAGCACTTTATTTATTTATTTGTTTAAATTATTTATTTCTATTGGAGAGAGAGAGGGCAGGGCAGAGGGAGAGAGAGATTCCCAAGCAGGCTCCATGCCCAGTGCGGAGCCCTACCCAGGGTTCGATCTCATGACTCTGAGATCATGACCTGAGCCAAAATCAAGAGTTGGACGCTTAGCTGACTGAACTACCCGGAACGCATTTATAGCACTTTAAAGTTTGCAAGTCATATCCCCTTCTGTGACCCTATTTAGCTTCACAGATGCACTTGGAGGGCACGTCTGCTTCTTATTCCCATTTTATAGATGAGGGAGCTGAGGCTCTTAAGAGGTGCAACAGAAAAGCAAGCAAGCAATTACTGAGCAGGTCTTGAGCTCAGCATTTTCTAATTTGCGCCTCACAAATGGCCAAGGAGGCTGTACAGTCAGTTGTCCCTGTCTTACAGTCGAAGAACTGGAGCTAAGGGGATGTAAGTAACTAGCCCAAGGTCACCCAGCAGGGAGGTGGTAGGGCCAGGATTCGAATGCAGGCCGTCTGACCGGAGAGTCGACGTGCTTATCCTGTGTGCTGAATTTCCCGAGGACGCAGACGGAACGTGCAGAGCCAGGCCAGGACTCCCCGCCAGCTGCTCATGCCACGCTCCTTCCACTCCAGCCGCTGGCTCCCTGGAGGAGGATAGGCAAGAGGACGCGGGCATGTGGCGCCCAGGAGTGTCCTGGGACTGCGCACCCGGGCTGAAGAGCCTGATAGCCGGACTGGCCGTGGGGGCTGTGATGGCTGGGCTCGCCTCTTGGTTGGGCACCAAGCGCTAGAGGGCAGTGGATCTAGGATGAGCAGCCCTCCTTCTAGCTCTGGCTCCCCCGCGTTCTAGCTTTAGGCGGATCCCATACTGAACCTGAGCCCTGGGGTTTTCCTTTGGAAAATGGGGAAACGTAAGACCTCATAGGTTGCTTTTCCCCCATCAGATCAAATGCAGTAATGAAGTAATGAAGCGAAAGAGCCCTCATGGCATAAAAAGGCGCTGATTAGCGACACGGTGGTTCCCAGCAATCCAGTCCCAGAAGCTGTGGCCAGAGCCATGTGTCCGATGGTGCAGACCCGCACGCAGCCCTGGGCTGTCGCTGCTGGGGGCGAAGCTGGGCTTCTGCAGGCGCCCTTGTGAGCGAGTTCGAAAGAAGCGTCCCTTGCTTCCTGGGGCAGCTGCACCCGCCCACCCTGCCGTGGTCCCTCCTGAGAGTGAGTGCCTCTGCTTTGCTTGTTCACTGACAGATGTGAGAGCAGAGGGCCGTGTTCAGACGGAACGCCAAGCGTCCGGCACGCCAGGAAGCGGCGGGAAAAGGCCATTGTAAGTGATCTGGGGCCCCGGAGCCCGGAGCGAGTGGGGAAGAGCAGGGGCATCAGGACGTGCCAGGACTCCCTAGACCCGAAGCCCTTTGAGGCTGGCTGTGGCCTGCAGAAGATAATTCCATTTCTCTGACTTCAGAAAGCACCAGGGTCCCCAAAGGGCACCAGAGGTGGCATCGTGCAAAGTGCGGCCTAGGGACTGGCTGTGAGGCACGGAGCCGGTGGTGATTTTAGGGCTGAGCATTGGAGGCTCGACAGGGCCAAGAGGGCAGGCTGTGTGTCGGGGGGGCGGGGGGGCAGTGGGGAGCAGAGCTGGGCCAACCAGGCCACAGAGCAGCCCTGCTGCCACCTTCTGTGTGACCTTGGGCAGGTTTCCCAGCTTCCCTGAGCCTCAGTTTACTCATCCGTACATAAGGGAGTTGGGCCTTGTCATTCCTAAGGGTCCCCCAGCTTGATCAGGGCTAAAGGATCAGGAGAGCCTGCTCCTTGCTTCCCACTGACCTCCCTCATCGTCCCCCAGAGTTAGTCTCTGGGCCCAGGCTGTGCCAGGAAGCTCCAGAGGAGAGCTGGAACCAGCCCCTCCACGTCACTAGAAGGAAGGGAAGGGAAAGTAAGACGGAGCGCAGAAAGACAGACTTGCGCTTGATTGCTTTCCCCCATGACGGGTGCTCCGGGGCAGAGACGGGGGCTGGGTACATGAGGTGTGCATACCCCAGAGGTGCACAGGTGTCTGCAAGCAGGTCCTTACCAGCACGGGCTGTGCCTCAAGCGTCTTCCTGGAATGCATGTGTGACCATTCAGTGGTTGTGACGTGCTTGGCATGAGCGAGACGGACAAGGTTCCGCCCCCCATTCCTGTGGCTGGGGCAGAAGGGGGAGAAGGGCAGCAGACTCCTAAACAAGGAATAAGCACTGTAATCAGAGATGGGGAGGGGCGCGGTGGCAGTAATCATGGCAGGCTAAAGTCTCCGAAATAAACAGTCGTTGTGTTGACTCCTGGGGAGGATATATTCATAGGGCGGTCTGGGAAGGACATCGGCAAGGAGCTAGATGCTGATGGATGAAAGGAGCCACCAGGCAGTTTCAGGAGGACTGTGGGGCTGAGGCAGCAAAGAACCTTATCAGTTGAAGGAGCCGCCAGGAGCCTGGGGGAGGGCGTTCCTTCACTGAGCAGAACCCCGTTCCCCTGCGATTGGCAGCGGAGGCCTGCCGTGGCCCCTGGGCCGACCTTCCCTCCCTGTCCTCTGTGAGATGAGAATGGAACGGCTCCAGAATCACTGGCCTGAACCTGTTCCCAGAGAAAGCCTGTCCAAACCAGAACCTGTCCATTTGACCCACCGGAGCACAGGTTTCCAGGAATGCAGCTGGAGTTGACCCAGCCGGTCAAAGCAGCTCTTCCACCAGCAGGGCCTTGAACTGGATCCAGTCACAGACTGTAGAGGAGAGGAGGGGACATTCCAGCCTGGGCTTCCACCCCTCCCTCTGCTGGGCTGTTCGAGGGACCCAGCTCGCCTGATGTGACCTCTTAAGTCACAGTGTCTCCACGCTGGCCTGGCACAGCTGGGGGTGAGGGTGGCTCCAAGCCCCGCGGCCTGCATCCCATTGCCCTCCTCCCAGCCCACCGTGACCCCCACAACGACCTGGCTCCCCATCCTTGCCCATTACCATCTTGGCAACTCTCCTTTCTACCACAGCCTCCCCCACGACTAGAAGTCGTCCCAGGCTCAGAACACAGCTGTGGAAGTAGGCAGTTACGTTAATGATGACGAACCCTTCCCTCGTCTCTGTCCCTCCTCCGCTCCTTTCCTTCAAGCGAGCAGTTGCTTCCTTTGGGAGCCATTCCCCATCCAACATTCGGCGGCCCCTCCAGCAACAAGGCAGGTCTTCTGGGATGGGGATCGACATCATCCTCTCTGACTCCAGCCCCAGCTGGTGTCACCCACTCAGCCAGGTGTCATGGGCTGAGGACGAGGGCTCCACAGGAGCCCACCATCGAGGGAGTCCCAGGAAGCCAGGCAGTGACTGGGTCTTTCTGTGTTTCCCTTCTTGAGCAGGGTGAAGGCCGTGTGGTGTATGTTCGAAATCTCTCCAGTGACATGAGCTCCCGAGAGCTGAAGCGGCGCTTTGAAGTGTTTGGTGAGATTGTGGAGTGCCAGGTGCTGACGAGAAGCAGGAGGTGAGTCAGGTCAAGCTGTTGCAGAAGAGGGGAGCGGGGAGGGGCAGAGGTCCCAGTCCGGGGCTGGCCACACAGAAGATGCCCGAGAAGATGTGCAGAACAAATCTGACGAAACCCACAGCCCGGACCTGGAGAGCCAGGCCCCAGAGAAGGTCCAGTAACAGTTGTGCGGCCCAGCAGTAAGCTGGTGGTTTGCTAAGTGCCAGGCAATTCCTGTGCGTTCTCTTCAGCCTTTGGACATGCCTGTGACCTATGCGCTCATTCTAGCGCTCTCCCTTTCAGGAGAGCTCAGACAAGTTAAGTGAGTAGCTAGTTAGTAGCAGAGCTGAATCTGCAGCCCACGTGTCCGCTTCAGGTTTTCCACCCTGGGGCTGGTACAGGACAGCAAACAACCCCCGGGGCCTAACTGCACACTTGTACTGGAACGTCGCTGCCTTGCAAGACCCCCACTACTCACATCCCTCCATTCCACTGGACCAGCCAGTTTCAGACCTTTTATTCTGCTGGGCATCTTGGTTTTTCCTCCCTCACCTGGGGAAGCAGTGTTCATCTGTCAGGGGATCTGCAAGAAGAATGGGTTGTGTGTAAATGCACAACTTAGATGTAAAAACTGTCTGTTTCGAGATAATTCTAAAGTATCTCCCATTGTATTTGCCAACTAGGTTATTAAGGTTTTTAAATTCTAATTTAATGATCATTTTTTAAAAGCTTCAATGAGAAAATAGTTTCTGTATAGGAATCATTACACACTTCATATCCATTAAGGTGGCTACAGAACATCCCAAGTGTGGAGAAATCCGAACCCTCGTGCACGTTGGTGGGAATGCAAACTGGGGCAGCCACCATGGAAAGTGGTATGGAGGCGCTTCAAAAAATGAAATAGAGAATTACCGTATGATCCAGCAATCCCACTGCTGGGTATATACTTCAAAGAATCAAAAGCAAGATCTCAAAGAGATATTTGCACACCCATGTGTATAGGAGCTTTATTCACAATAACCAAGAAGTAGAAACAACCCAAGTGTCCGTTGACTCATGAACGGATAAACAAAATGTAGTCTGTGCATACAGTGGAATATTACTCAGCTTTAGAAAGGAAGGAAATCCTGTCACATGCCTCAAGCATGGATGGACCTTGATAATCATAACCTCATTATGCTCTATGAAATCAGCAGTCTCCGAAGGACAGAGATTGTATGATTCCATTACATGAGGTATCTGGAGTAGTCCAATTCCTGGAAACAACAAGCAGCAGAGAGAATGGAGATCCATTCCCAGTAGCGTGAATATACTGAACTGTACACTTGTTATAAAGATGGTACATTTTATGTTTTGTGTTTTTTACCACAATTAAAAAAAAAAGTCCTTACACAAGTAAACTGTTTTTTAAGTTCTGTGCAGTATTCAGGGCATCAAATGGAAAGAGCATGCAAAAACAAAGTGAGCAGTCCCGGGCGTTTCAAGAGGCAGAAGGGGTCCAACTTTGGCCTGGTTCAGAGAGGAGTCAGGAAATGGGATTCACCCGAGTGTTTATTAGGCGCCTGGTGTTGGTAAGCCCGTCCTCAGCGGTAGGGGGACTCCACCGTGTCTCTGTCCTGAGGATTCTACGTAGCAGAGGGACTAGCAGCCAGGATTCTTTTTCTTGCTGTTTGTAGAGCTGAAGAGCTGAGGGAAGAACCTTAGGACCCCTCGCCTCACGTCCTTCTCGTGTAGGCTGCCCTCCGGTGGCAAAGTGGCTGCCTCCAGCTCTAAGCTTACCTACCTCCTACCAGGGAAAGGAGGGGTCTCCCTCACAGTTCCAGCCAAGAGCTGGGACAGATTCTTTGGGTTTCTGTTTTGGGCAGCAGGCGCATCCTTGGACGGGTCGCTGCGAACACACAGCACCGTTGTCAGAGGAAGGGGAGTGGATGCTGAGCAGGCAGACATGGAGTTGTCTACCACAAAGGACGAGATGTGTACAGAATACCAGCTGTATTAGGGAAGGGGGAGGCCATATTAGCAGCCAAGGAAGTGGTGGCCGAGGCTGGCTTCGAAGGAGGCTGGAGGGCTAGACTGGGGGTAGAGGTGTGGCAAATAAGCTTTCTGCTGGGAGGCCCGAGTTTGAATACCCTGCCCTACCACTTGCCTTTGGGGCAAATTCTGAACTCCACAGAGCCGGTTTCCTCATCCCTGAGGGGGAGCAAGGTTGAGGCGCGTGGCAGACATTCTGTGAGTCACCGGCTCTTACTATTATTACACAGTAGAGGCCGGCCTAGTGATGGCCATCATCTGTATTTGGGGGGCCATGAGACATGGTTACTGAATCAGTGTGGCTCTTGCTCATTATCTCATCATGGGTGGTCTGAGAGTGTCGACCAAGCTGGCTCAGTAACGTGCTCCCCCTGACCTCTCACCACAGAGGCGAGAAGTATGGCTTCATCACCTACCAGTGTTCGGAGCACGCTGCCCTGTCTCTGAGGAATGGCGCTGCCCTGCGGAAACGCAACGAGCCCTCCTTCCAGCTGAGCTATGGAGGGCTCCAGCACTTCTGCTGGCCCAGACACACTGACTATGGTAAGTGCACAAGGCCCTGCCACACTCCAGTGAGACCTAAAGCCCCCTCTGGACCCAGCTCCCACCCTAAAGCTTTAATGTGCCTATTGGTCAAACTTCGCAGCCTGGAGGCTGCCATCTTGTTTTTCTTCTGTTCTCTGGTCCATCTTGTCTGGTCTCAAGACTGGTACCAAGAGAGAGATTCAGGGCCCCCGTGGCCTCTTGGAAGGTCCAGTCTTGTGTTCATAGCCAGTTGGCAGAACCATGATTAACTGTCTCTTTCACCTCCCGGGGCCAGTGGCTACCCTGCTGCTTTTCAGGGGCATTCCACTGTGGCCCCAACAGGCAGCAGGCAGCCTTGTCTGTTAATGGGCCACAGCGAAATAATACTGTCAGCATGCCCTCACCACTGGGGGACGAGTTAGTGAAGAAGGACAAAGACGTACGATTTAGGAGAGAGTGATCTATAGAGGAGAGTCTGACCTGCCTCCATAGCACAGGTCTGAGGGTGAGGAAACGCAGGAGGGTTCCTGGCCAGGCCGTGTTTCGCCTGGCTGCACGTCCACAGGGCATCCTAGCTTTGTTGGCCACCTTAGGTGACTTTGGCAGTGGTTTACTAGTGGGCAAGAAGCTCTTGGGGAGAAACAGCTTTATAGGATATCGGAGCTAGAAAGGAGCTGTGGGGCATGCTAGTTGGGGCCACCACGTTCTGGAAACAGGGCAGCCCCGAGCCGTTGACGACGGGACAGAGGTAATGCTTGCTGTCTAGTGCTCTCTGAGGCCCTGGGCCACACGCGCTCCACGGGGTTGACCCTGGTGGCAGGTTTCCTGATCGTCCGGCCTTTCTGAGTTGCTCACCGCCTTCCCCTCTCCTTGACTCCTCCACCCCCTGCCCAGATTCCAATTCAGAAGAGGCCCTTCCTGCGGCAGTGAAAAACAAATACGAAGCCATGGATTTTGACAGCTTACTGAAGGAGGCCCAGCAGAGCCTGCATTGATAACAGCCTTAACCTTCGAGGAATACCTCAATACCTCAGACAAGGCCCTTCCAATATGTTTACGTTTTCAAAGAAATTAAGTATACGAGAAGGCGAGAGCGCGAGCGCGTGAGAGAACACACGTGAGAGAGAGAGAGAGAGAGAGAGAGACTTGAAACTGCTGTCCTTTTAAAAAAAAAAAATCAATGTTTACATTGAACAAAGCTGCTTCTGTCTGTGAGTTTCCATGGTGTTGATGCCCCACGGCCACTGTAGCGTCCTCGCTTCCGGCAGGCGGTCCCGGGCGCGCCTCCCAGTGCTGGGCCAGCCCCTGTCCCCTCGCTCCCTGACCGGCTTCCCTCGTAGACGTGCAGCCGTGTGCACCGTAACATTTCTTGTCTGTAGTATGTGATGATGAAATTGTTACTCGTGAATAGAATCAGGATTATACACTCGTTTTTAATTGAAGACAAAAAAAGTATATCCTTCAAATAACGTATTTATGGCTCAGACGTACTGTGCCTGGGATTATTGTATCGCTTCCTTGATTTTTTAACTATGCACTGTCGTGAGGTGTTTGCCACTGAGCTGCTGTGCTCCCTCGGCCAGGGCGCCCTAGAGGTGCTGGGTGGCTGGTGGGTTGGTCCCCAGGGGAGCGCGGCCTGCAGCCACAAGTCGGAGCAGTGGAGAAAGGCTTCTGGGACTCGCCTGCCAAGCTCTGCCCTGTCTCTCACTGAGCACACGTGGGTCCAGTTCCAGTCGGAACCCTCATCTGGTGCCAGCCGGTGCTCGGAGCTTGGGCCTGGCCTGGAGTGCTCGGATCCTGGCAGACCCTGTAAGGAAGGTGGGGCGAGCCGCCTGATTCTTGTTTTTCCAGGCGAGGCGGGCAGTGCCCCAAGAGGGGATGTGACTTGCCCGAGGTCCCATGGCCAGTGATGGGGCGGAGCAGTGACCCAGCCCAGGCCTTCTGATTCCTGGTCCCATGCCCTTGCAGTAGCTGGGGTAAAGATGCACAGTTCCAGGGACCGGTAGAGGTGAGACCAGCTACGTTGGGCCACAGGCAAGAGGCCTCTGGGCTTACTTGGAGGGTTAAGTCAAAAGCTGGCTCGCCAGCATTAGGAACGTTTAGGCTCGGGCATGCGTCTTGATCCAGAGGGTTCTGTGGTTTGCCTATACCTGTGGACATGCCATCAGAGCCTCAGTGACATACCTGGAGTGGCGCAGGCAGGGGATCTGGGAGCAGTCATCCTTCTGGGGCCAGCCACCGACCCATCCTACTCGTACCAGCTTGTCTTCCCCTTCTCCTCACCTGTACAGTTGTTTGGGTGGCATGAGGCAGGGGAAGCAGGAGGGGCATGTGAGGGCCGGGGGTGGAGAAGACAATCTCCAAGGTCCTTTCCAACTTAGACAACATTCTAATTGGGCTTTACTTTAAATTTTATGTTCTTGAGTGATGTCAAAACCATGTCCAGCTTGGATGTTCTGCAGGTGCCTTGGGGGCCATTCATGAGGGAAAGCATGGCCAGGCAGGGTATGAGCTCGTTACCTCCAGCTTCATCTTGTTCATATGTCAGGGTTCCTTGGGAAATTTTTGTATTAAGAAGAAATAAAAGAGAAAAAGTCCTGCTTGCTTTAAAAACGTTTGAAATTAACTCAGTAAACTCAACAAGCTAATTTAATCTGTTGCTCCTGCCAGGCTTAGAAATTTGAGAATTGGTATTTGGTCATTATTATTATTTTTAAGATGATCAGATACCTGAGTAGGTACCCAATGGGCTTGTCCTGGGAGGTGAGCATACTCCAAGCCCATGGAGAAGGCTGGAGGAAACGGGCTTTAGAAGGAATAGGGAATTTGAGCTCCTGTGTATCAAATCACTTCCTTCCACCTCCCTGGGCCCCAACTTCCTTTTCCGTGAAATGGACTGAGGGGCAGAAGTAGGCAAGAAGTAGGGACCCTAAGGTCCCTGCCAGCTCTTAGCTTCTGCAAAGGTGGTATCTAGCTCAAGATGGCAATTACATGGCACATGTACCACTATTGGCACATCCTTGGCCAGTGGCAGACGTAACTAATCGACCACAGCCCTCATGTTCTTTGAGCTTGGGAGTTCTTTTAGAATTCTCAACACAGTGCTCTGGGCAGCCATTACTAATGGATCAGAGTTTAACTAAACCATCTGACATCCTGGTCTGATCTTTGAAAAGTTTCCATCAAAATAGAACCAAATGGTGGCTGGGTTTCATGCTGGCCCATCCCTGTCTATCATGTCCTGATCTATGAGAGAAAATTCCCCTAAAGCCATTCATTGGCACAGGACTCCCAATACTGTGACACACAACCCGCACTTGGGTTCGGAGGGGAGCAAGCGGAATAGCGGACATGAAATGTTTGAGGGTGGTGGGGTTTATGAGGATGAACCAAAAAAAGGGACTTTTCCACAGCATGGACCTGAACATTGTAAATTCCTTTTATAGCTATTCACTGCCTAGCACACAGTAGGCACACAATAAATGGTTATGGAATGCAATAGAATAGAATTTAAATCTGTCTGCTGCCTCCCCTAAGTCCTGATTTGCACCAAGGAGTATACTGAGGGTTCATCCTGTGGAAACCAGTAGGAAGGAACTCGAGATTCAGAGTCTGGAGAGCTGGGTTGAGTTTTGGCTCCACCAAGAACTCTGTGACCTTGCGAAGTCACAGAATCCCTCCCCCTCTCCTCTGCTCCAGAAGGAGTTGGACCAGAGGTTCTCTAAGCCCCTCCTACTTGCTTCTTCATTGGTTTGCCCCGGGTCAGAGATTCTCCCCTGGGCAGGTGAAACGGGAGGGTAAAGAAAGGCAGATTTTTAGTGGAAGACCAGTCTCTCCCTCCCCTCTTCTGGGTCAGCTGAGGCTGCCCATCACCTCAGATGGCTCCAGGACACTCGAAGTTCCTTAGATACCGCCCGTTGAGCAGAGCAGAGATGCGAGAGTGGCACTGGGAGGTCCCGTGCCTAGGGTCAGGGCCAGCCGTGGGGGGAGAGGATGCTGGCAAAGAGCACCAAGCAGTTTCTGCTTGCCATCACATCCCTAACAGGCTACAAGTTGGAACACTGACCAAGCCTGCAGTCAACCTCTATCCGGAAGACTCATTCGGTGCTGTGTACCACTAACCGAGGAGACTCCAAGGTCTCTCCGCGAAACCTAGGCCACCTTGGTCCCTCGCCCACCACATTGAGGAGTAACCCAGAGGGAGCGGCTGCCGCTGGCAACCATCTTATTGTAGTTGTGTCCTAGTGTTTGCTCTGGATGATGTTTCCGTGTGATGCCATGAAAGCTTACAGTAGACTCTGTTGACAGCCGCCCATGCCGGGCAGGTTGTGCTGTCCGTCTGTGTGCCGTGCTGGTGTTTCCAGAAATGTCCGGTCCAGCTGCTAAGTGGAATTCTTCATCTCCTTCCTCAGTCGGTACCAGGCTGAATCAGAATCCTCAGTCTTGGGGGTTCTGGTTACCGAAGGAAAATGCATCAAAGAGGTAAAGAATATGAGTGGATGGAGTGCAGAGAAGGCCCCCCCCCCCCCCCCCCACTTAGCCCATCAGACCTTGCTCCCAAGCCAGGAAACGGCTTTGAGTCAAAAAGAGCCACTGAGCAGGTGTCCGCATCTGCAGCGGGGCCTAGCAGTGTGGCGTGCTGACCGCGCTGGGGGCGGGGGGGGGCGGCAGGAAGAGGAAGGGAGGAGAGCTCTGAGCTGCAGACACTCAGTACCCAGGTCCTGGTGTAGGGAGAGACGCACTAAGAAGGCTGGCATTGCATAGAGCCTGTGCTGGTGGAAGTTTTTGAGAGCGGTTTCTTCTAGGCGTATGCAGCATGCCCGCCGAGGCCACCGGGCTAGTGGTGGGAGGCGGCGGCAGGGAGAAAGTTGACACGTGGTCCTTCTGCAGGGACAGGGGAGAACCTCACCCCAGGCCTTGGGCTGCGCTGAAATCACAGCTGAGCCTGCAGCTTGAGAGAGGGGCCATCCCAGCTGCAAAGCAGAACCAGCCCCGGACGGCGGGTTGATCTGACTCCCTGATGTCAAAACCACAGGCTTTTTCTTACCATCTGAGAGATGGCAGTTACCCTCAGATAGGGCTAAGGGGAGAAATGGGATGTACAGTAGCAAATACAGTGAACCTCATGGTTTTCTTGGCCAAAGAAGAGGGACCCCCTCGCCCCTTCCCACCGGGGCAGAAGTTGGTGCAATATGTTTAAGCTGGCCGCCAGGTCCCGGGGGGTATTTGCCCACAGAGGTGGGCTCCAGGGCTGTGCGCTGAGTCCGGAGGTACAGGGTAAATGGAGGGAGAGCTCGGGGGCTGGGAAACCTACAGAAATGCCCTTGGCTGGGTGCGGGGAGGACCCCCGGGAGCTGGCCGCAGGATGTCAGGAAGTAGAGGCTGCCTTCGCATTGAACCAATAAAAGCACTTTGAGAAAACCACAACACTTCAGCCTGGCTCCATGTTTCTACGCTGGCAAATGTGGGTCTCCGGCTGTGTGAGGGACTCTCCTAGGGATTGGGCTGGGGTCGGGAGGGGGGCCGGCAGAGGGGGGGATCGAGCTTCCGTTCCTAAATAGTGGCAGAGCCGATCCTACGGTCCTTTGCTGGCCCTTTTGTTGGAGGCCCTAGGGAAAGGGAACAGTGAGTTTCTATCTTAGTACCTCTTTTTACGTATGTATGAAAAGCTAAAACAGCCCAGCTGTCAGAAATGGGTTTACAGAGCAAGTCACCCAACTATAAGCCATCTCAGTGAGAAGCCTGATGTTTCTCACTTGCTGTGTGATCTGGGGCCTCTGTTCCCTCAACTAACGAAGGAGAGCATTGGACAGAATGAGCACCAAGGTCCCTTTGGACCCTGATAGGCTCAGGTTCCCACCCGGGAGCCTTGGGAATCTGTCACTCACCTGTGAAACCAATCTCATCCTCTGGCTGCGCCCAGCTCGAGTCCCGGGTGAGAGATCTCTGCAAGGCCCCCAACCAGCAGTGGATTCAGACCCACCTGGTCCTCGCCCAGTTCCCTTGTATGAGGCCAGCTCCCCAGGACAGATCTAAGCCATAGTTTCTTACGGGGATGGTGAGAAGTTCGACCCCAGCTTGGCTAGGTGGCGGTCTCGAATCTCACATTAGCCTTGTCATCGTCCCCACTGAGCAGCTTTT